GAAAAAAAGTGTCTAGACTATCTATCTAGGCTAGGTCTTGATCTAGACCCCTAGACTAGACTAGTCCAGTTTTATACGACAAAGCATCTTAATTATGGTTTAATTGTTTCAAACCGAGTCCAAACATTATATGTCTGCTTAGATTATAGTCCATTTGATTAAGAGTCTAATCTAGTTTTCATTCCACAATCAGATCCGACCAAGTCCAGCAATCAGTCCTGGATCTACTTGCACGGTCCGCAACACGACGCTCTGGGTCCGAGTGGCTTAGGCTAGTTCCAAAACCAAAAGGCAGTGCAGGGCTGGAAGTCCGAGGTAGCGGCCTATAGCTGTACTGTTCCCGGTCCCGGTCGAGCCTCTAGGCTCTGGTCTTGTCAAGCCTCTAGGCTCTTCTCCTGACGAGCCTCTAGGCTCTGCTCCTGGCGAGCCTCTAGGCTCTGGTTCTGCCTCCGCATCAGTTCTGGTCCTGAATGTAGGGCTTTAGTCTGACAGTCAATACACTAGTCTACTCGTAGTGTTGCCCGCGTAATACAGTGCGCAACCTTACGCAGACACAAAGTCATATTGGAGACGCGGCTGTGAGTTTACTCTGCTGGCTGTGCAGTGTGATTGTCGGCAGTTCAAAAACCGTCCCTTATCAATCTTTCATAAGTCATTCAAGATTATTGCTGGCCCTATGTGATCTGCAGTTCCATAGTAATAGATATGGCAATTCTTTTGACCGCTGCCACCATGTTGAAAGATCAGATGAACGGATAAATAAGAGATCACTGTAGACAATGTTCATGTATAAGTGGCCATCTTGAAAGTGCTTTATTCAGGTATCCTTCCGCCAATCGCGGCCTCATTACGCACATCAATGAACTATTGGTGTTGTTCATATAGTACCACAACAATGATGTCTGCTTATGTTGACAAAAAGCAGGAGAACTGGGACTTAAATTTGTCGCTCTTGACATCAGCCTATCGAAGCACTATTCATGAGACTACTGGATTTTCACCAAATTTTCTCATGTTGGGGCATGAGGTTAGAACCCCAATTGAAATTGAAGCACTTGGTGTAGACAAGCCCGACATCAATGACCGGGACTACATGTATCATGACTACGCCTCCAACATCGTCTCAATGATGACGGAAGCATACAACTTAACTCGTGAGCATCTTGCCTCACAAACTCAGAGACAGAAGAGAGATTATGATGCGAGACTATCAGTAAACACCTACAGACCAGAGGATTTAGTCTACTACTTAGACACAACTAGAAAGAAGGGACTTTCCCCAAAACTGAAGTCTACTTTCTGGGTTGGTCCATGTGTGGTAACCAGGAAAATGAGTGACTTAGTGTTTGAGATTAAAGCGCAACAAAAGGGAAAAGTTAAAGTCCTGCATCATGGTCGTCTTAAATCGTTCAAAAGTAATGACATTCCACAATGGGTAAGGGAACAATCTAAGAAAGTTTGTAGTAATGTTTCTTTTTCTAATACTTTGTACTACTGGTACCCAGACTAGCCAGAAAGACACTTTCTCCCCTCGCCGCTCTTCACGAAGATCTATAGCCCCTGACAGATTTGTATACTAAATTACCATAGATAACATACTCCAGTCATGAACTTGTTGATTCCTTCTAAATGCCTAGTGAAATGGTGTGCTGGCCTCCAGTTTGTCACTTCTGCTTCATTTTATCACCAAAGAGAGACCTGTCTGATTTTGGTGGAGACTTTATATTGTGCTTTCCCTTCTACCAGCCGTATCTCCAAATTCTCTAATTGGACCAATCTCTGGAATTTAACATTGTCTAGCTTGATCATCTAGAGATTAATTGGATTAATTTTATACTTTTCCTGTCTATAGCACCATGTCTACCCATTTTAACGGCATCGGAGATGCTTTTTCACTTGTCCAGTACCCACCACAAAATACACCCGTATTGGACGAGAGCTACTCTCCAATTTCGAACGTTGGGGAAGTTACCCCTTTTACAACTCCAGACTTTAATGACATCATGGGGGAACCAAAAGCAGCCAATAGTGCATTCGAGCTGACGCCTCTTCCGAATGGGAAGAGGCCAGCAAAAAGGAGAGGGACATATTCATCAGAGAGAAAAACCGACCCCGATACAAAACTTTCAGAAGTAATTTCAAACATGGAACCCCGACTATCGTCCGAGATTGCTGGGCTTAGGACCGAAATAAAAGCGATGGAGAAAAGCGTCCAAAATTTAGCTGACGTCATAGAAGGAAGGGACGACAACTCCAGGACTTACGCCAAACATATCCAGTCGATTTTCACATCGGGGGTGAACCACCTGGTTTCCTTGCTTGGAAAGCAAAAGAAGAAAATACACCAGGCATCGTCACTCCTGACCGAACTGTTGGCTGACGATAAATAACTTTTCCCAGACTATATTTCTTTTGCGGACATTGAGTGCCTTAGCGGAGGACTTGTTTAGGACGAACTGTCAGTTTTATATTTAATGGAACTATGAGAGCTCTATAATGATAACCATGTGTACTTTCTATAATTATTTGGATCTACTTATTTTGTCTCTTCAATTGGTATATTGTTCGTACATTGCCATTGACTGTTTTCTACTGCACTTTCCGTTTCTTCTATCTAACCTCCCTACCTCTCTCTCTCTGTGCCTATCTCTCTGTCTTTTTCTCTTGTCATCTATTTGAAAATTATGTGACTGTGTGGAGTTATTGCCACTGTGTTTACTCTTAGTACTCTTTCAGATTGTATGCTATTATGTTCAATGGTTTACACTATTTGCTATTTAATTTCTGCCCAATTACATGGGGTGTGCCCTAACTTTTGCATTTTTCTATCATCTATGTGCGGGCAAATGTACTACTCGTTGTTTTCGGTATGTTTTAAGTTCCTTCACATTGTCATGAAATTATACTGCTTGTTGTCAATTTCATGGTTCTTACCTTTCTTAATTGGTAACATTTTGCTACCATTTTTTTGTTTTGTTGCGCCATATAGTGCATGATGTACTCATTTATTTTTTATGTATGCATTTTTAATAGTCAGATTAGGTCAGATGGTATTTTGTATCTTTGTTTATCTTTAATTCATTATACATGTGTACCTGCAACTGTTAATATATGAGTAAAGGTCACATTCCTTTGTTTTGTAAGTCTTCTTTTTTGGGGGGTAATGTATATACATCTTCTTAGAGGCCATTGGCTTAATTATTTTGCCTGTTTCTTCCATGCTATCTTTGCATTGTTATACGGTAGGGAACAAACTTGAACTTGTTGGTTGTGTACGCAAGGCTCCTTTTGACAAACGACGCTCCCTCTCTTTTCCTGATTCTTTCTCTCCCTCTATCTCTTTCTCTCTTGTCTCTTTCGCCGTCATCACCTTGCCTTCTCTTCTCTCTCCATTCCTATAGTCTCTCTTTGGTTTCCTTTCCCCATGACTTGTTTGTTGTACTATAGATGTTAAGTTATGCTTTTGTATCATTGCGTCTGTTGCTAGAGTTCGACTTTAAGGACATTTGTATATATCCTACATTTTACTATACTGGTGCATGTTGCGAATTCGTTTTTATATATTTGCTTTATTTATCATAATTTTACTGTTGCTTTCGCTTTTCTTTCCTATCCCTTTCTTATCCTTCTCTTCTATTCTTCTTTCTAATTTCCCTTTTCATCGCTGGGGACAGCAATATCTTCCGTAGGGGGAGGATAGTGTCACGCAGTTTGGTTAAGATATTTGATGTAATATTATGTATATATTTTATTCCATGCTTTAGTCTACTCTACAACTATCCATGATTATTGTACCAGTCTATGTTAAGGATGTCTTGCTATAGTTACGCTATTACAAATCCAGCCAGCCCGATCCCAATTGCTTTGCATATAGCAAAGTTCTATTCTCTCCTCACTTTGACCTTGCATTCACTTTCAGAACTTTCACTCTGTCCGTTCTCACTTTGACTTTGCCTGACTTTCAGAGCTCTCGTTCTTTCCCTTCGCTCTTGCTTGCCCGAAACTCTCATTTCAACTTTCCACTGTCCTTCAGCCCTTTCAGCTTGCTTCTTGTCTTGACTTTCTCCTGTCTTTGTATCCTCTCTCTCAATATGACTTTGAGCTCTGTATTTATGTGCTCAATGCCGTCCTCCTCCTAAATACTCCGCAGCGCGATACTTGCGACCTACATGACTGGTCTTTCTCCATCTCCCTCGAAGGGTATATAAGACAGACTGCATTCGTATCTTAGGCAGTTAGGAGCGAAGAATCTGTCAGTGAAGAGTGAAGACCGTTACAGTTAAGAGTGAAACTTGTGAGCTGTCGAGAGTTAATTGTGTCAGTTATTGTGACAATCCTGTCATCACGGTGTTTGAAGCGAGAGCACTCTACGAATGGGATAGAGAGCCATCCTGTTCAGAAATGGTCTCCAGTCATGTTAGTCTATCTGTTTAGCCTGTTCTAATGCCTGCTGCATTTTTTTGCCTCTCTGATTCGCAAGACATTCTCTTTTATCCATCCTTGTAAATGTGTTTGGGTTTGCTGTAATAAACTCCTCAACTGTAATTTCTGCCTCACGAGTGTTTATTCTCCCTGAATCTCGGCCATCCCTAACAACTAAACTTCAACATATAACGGGGCTAATATATCTTGGGACTTTTACTTCCTATTGTCGAACAATATAAGTCCCCGTTACAATATGAAAATAATTCAGATGTATTGATGTTTATTTCAGCTACTACAAATTACTAGGATTGTTCTCCCATCTACAGCGATGTCGACCCCGTCTATCGAGGTCTTCAAGAGCCGCCTCTCTTCAGTCACTCTTCGCTATTAAAGTGACAGATGCTGCTTTTTTACTTGCACATTATCTTTGAGTTTTTCTTATTTGTCCATCACCGCACTTCCCTTGCACGTGTTCCTGCAACCGCACACCTTTTTCTGCACGAAGTACGACAATACTCTTTAAACAGGGATGTACTCCAATGGAAGAAGGAGAAGAAGTAGTATTGAAAACTCACTGATAATGATCTTTGTAGAGATGATAAGAGAGCGTGATGATGTGGTTGAGGAATTCTCTCATCAGAAGCTTGTCAAGTGGAGAGTGGATATCAGTCGCTGTCTTGTCTGCAGCTGAGTACAAGAATATCAAACAAACAGGAATAAATAGTTGAGATTTCAATTTCACACTGGAATAAAAGATTTCATAAGTAATTAATTTTCATATGTCATGTCAGGGGAAATTAGATGCGTTCGTATACATGCATAATAAAATGAGGAAATTTGATTCTTGGAAATAAAAAACATGGAAATTTAGGACAAATCAATATACAATACCAAACCGAAAGTATAAATAAAACAATGGTAGTTAAAATCATAATAACATAGTAACGTCTGAACGACTTGTAAAATTGTATTTAGCAAGTAACCATGCAACAAAATAACCAAAATTCCTCCTCACTATTTGTCTGCTTTCCAGTAAACATTTTAGATTGGTATTTACCTTAATTTACACAGACCAACTTTTTTGTATTAATTTTTTTTTTTTTTTTTGGGGGGGGGGAGGGGGAGGGGGGTGGGGTCCCCACCCCACCCCCCTCTATACCACCCCACCCAATACCAAAAATGAAATAAATATGAAAAAAAGCTGTTGATTTGCATGAATTCCACCACTGTCACATCAAAATGTTGGAAGACAAATCTTGTGACTTACCCAGAGTTCTATCCATCTCCGCTAGTGTTGCATCAAGATGGTGGAAGCGAGAATCTTTGAGGAATCTCCAGAACTGAAGTCTTGTCATGATGAAGGTATTATCAGGTGATGCATCATGTCCAAGACCACTATAGTAGGAGTACACCTTCTTCAGTGCGCTCATGTGACGCAGAATCACAAACAGTACCTAGACAAGAAAGATAAAGTTTGTCTAAATTATTGCTGCCTTTTTGGAAAACATCCATTTATATTGCCAAATGAGAAGCAACAGTGAAACATTATACAAATAATACACAGCAGTGAGGGCCTTTGTAAGAATTACCCACACTCGGTACCTTTGGAAAAGTCTAACACGTGTCAGACCTTTCCAAAGGTACCGAGTGTGGGTCACATAATTTTACTAATGCCCGAACAGAATCATGTGTATTATTTGTTTTATAACATTATGACGTGGATCCTTGCTACTTAATCAATCACCCTCACATCTCAAACTCAAAGGCCTGAATTCACAAAGGAGGTTTAAATCTAACCCATGGTTTAAATCCTCATTTACATAACCCATGGTTTAAAATAAGCGCAAATTGAGGCGTACCTTGCCTTGCGCGCGTCTAATATTGGACCTTTGACTTGGGTCGCACTTATTTTGCGCTAATTTTAGACCATGGGTTATGTAAATAAGGGTTTAACCATGGGTTAAATTAAAACCTCCTTTGTGAATTCGGGCTAATGTCCACACATTAATCAGTCTACATCTAAATAAAGCTTCAAATCTAGCAAAGCCAAACTTTATGCTCTTCTTGGTACCACCAGAATCAGTCCTATTCAATAACTCTTGCATTTGTGCAGTTGAAAGGATTTCAAACGTAGGCACTTTAAATGCCGCGGCAGCCATTCTCGCGAGTAAAAGTAAAACGATGAAATCTCAATGCTTATGATAGCAACAACAAGCTACATGTAGATGTACTAATGACCGGTCATTACCATTAGCATTACCATTAGGTAATGACCGGTCATTACGCGTTAAGCAAAATAAATGCCTGGTCACATGTACGCTTTCAACCAATCATTTGATTAGGATTTACGTCATCATCTTATAATGGACTCTATCATTCTTTTCAGCTGAAGGGAATATGCTCAAGTTTTATTCAAAACCTAAAAGACTACCGGTATACATATACAGCATTCCACAATATGACAAACAAAACTACTTTCCTACGTTCTAGCATGTGTTCTGAACTTCTGTTGCTAAAATTGGATTTTATATAAAGGCAAAAGGAAATGTATTCCAACAAATTTCTTTAAAGTCCATACAGTTTAGACAAACAGTACCGTAATTAACGGTGTATAAACCGCCCTCGTGTATTAATCGTACCCCTCTTTTTCGCCCTAAAAAAAAATAATATAAAAAAAAATTAAAAAATAAAACTCTGTCGGCAGCAAGCCAGGTCCGTGTTAAAAAAACCCATGCGGGAAGGCCTTTCATTTAACTGCGAGGTATGTGCAAGATCATTAATGTAAATTAAAAAACAGTAGAGGACCTAAGATAGAACCTTGTGGTACACCGTGTAATAGAAGAAAAATTTGAGGAATGATTATTATAAACTACATATTGAGATCTATCAGAAAGATTACTTTCAAACCAAGATGACAGACAAATTTAAGTGTTGTTCTAGTTTCTAAGTGGTGAGTCAACACACCGATTACTGAGCATTTTTGTTGGTTTTTTTGGTGTACCGTGTATAAGACGCACCCCCGACTTTGATTTTTTTTTGTCCATTACATGACAATACTCCTTTCCTACATCAATACTAGCAAACAATTTCCAGCATTTGTTCTGTTAGCTGAAATTTTAATGTATAATCAAACGATAACTAATGATTCAAATTATGTTTTGTGACTGAACATTTGATTCTTGCATTAAATGTAAAATTTCAAAAAAGACCCTTCAAACAGTAGTATACTACTACTACAGTAACTACTACTTCCACTTCTACTTCTACTACTGATAATAATTTTGGGTTTAAATCTATAGTGCTTAATAAACGGACCATGATTCTACTCACTTTATAGTTATTAAATTCAGGCATGCCCACAGACATTGAACATTCTCCACTCCATGGTGAGCATTTCAGCCAGGCACCATTTTACAGATGCGCACAAGACTAACAAACTACAATAAATTTCTTATCATAACGGGTATCCGTTTAACACCTGGATGGAGAATAGTCTTGGAGATGGAGAGAGTCTTGCCCAAAGACGTTAATACCGGGCTGGGATTCAAACCCTCAACCCTTGGATTGAGAGTCAAGTGAGTGAACCACTACACCACCAAACCTCCATCAACTAAAAGCATTCGTGATGAGAGAGAGTGGTTTACCTGATGAAGCTCCTCTTCTTTCTCCTCTGCGCTGAATGCATCAAGTAAATGCTGAAGGTCAAGGGTCAATGAAGGGCCTAGAGTGTTACGACTCTCATCAGTTCTTGCTGTCAAATCTCCTACGTGTTGATCTGGAGCTGAGGGGTGTAACAAGAATACGTAACTAATTAAAAAGGTGTCACATGATAATATCATTCTATCTTGGATATGCCTAAGAAATTTCTTGATTATCAAGTGCTTAGAAAGCTTCTCTTTAGTCATGATGATCAGCACCTAAAATTCATCAGGAATAGATGAAGCTTATTAGGTGAAGCCTAATAGATGAAGCCTATTGATTTTGTCAGAATTTTCTTTCTTCTTTATTTATTTATTTATTATTTATTTATTTATTCTTTACTTTTATTTCTCCCCCTTTTTTGTTCCTAGGATAACTCACGATCGGTTGTGTTAATTTCTTTCAATTTTAACACAGTTATAGGTCCTTGTCATGAGACGTGACAGGAACATTTTCAAGGTCATTGAGTCTTTATGACGTCATCCAGGCGCCATTTTGTGAAATCACATTATCCATCATATCTTCATGACGTGTCATCAAAGGTCATTCATATTCATATCACGTATACTTCAGGTCAAGGGTCAACAGGTCATGTCATCAAAGGTCAAATTAAGGTCATGACCTGCGGGTACGGGCGCATCAAAATTTTGAAATGCTCAAAATCACTTAACTATTTAACGAGAGTACGAATCAGGTCATTTTAAGCATTTCAAGAAAAAAACGCGTACACACGCGTGCGCGCGCGTTTTCGCGCGTCATGACATTTTGCAACATAGAATCGCCAATTTTTCTCGGTCATCATATTTGGCACATTTTTCACAGCATTTTGATACCTTGTTTACCTGTTTGTGAACATTAATAACGGAATGAGCGTCCGTTTAAGATACATGTACTTGCGTGTGAACTCTTGTAATACATAGCATATATGGGCAAGAACATGCCTATACAAAATCTTTTGTAGCTCTTTAAGATGCCCGTTGACCACTAATTTTATTTTCATATTTGGATAGAGTATGAATTGTAGTTATGATTTCATGTCTCATTTGACCCTCAATGAACTCATGACGTCATCATAATGGCCTCTGAACTAAAAATTTCTATTTGCTTATTATGACGTCAGCATATTTTTAGAACATTGATTGTATCTCTGTAAATATAGATCGATTTTCCTCCGAATTTGGATATGTTCTAGCTGAGACAATTCTCTACGAGTACAGTATTCATAATTTTTCATTTTCACAAATGCATCATGGGGTATTTTTGCAATTAAAGGAGGCATGTCAATTTTTCACATTTTGCGTGTATTCTCTATGGGACATGACTTTTTCTCACAACTGGATTCTACATTCCCGTCTTTCGCGAGCAAGATCATCGTGATCATCATCATCATGATCATCATTGTTTATATGTCTAAATAATTTCTCCCATTCTCAAATCTATCATAAAAAGTGAAGACAGACCACCTAATTCGTCCCCATGACGAATTAAATTTCTAGTTTATTTTAGTTTTTTTCATAAATCGCATGGTTATTACACATTTATAATTGGGTGTAAAGATTGTATTTTGTCATGTGGTTACAACACAGTACAAGTAGACTTTCAAAATATAGGCCAAAAATAACATGAAGGGAAATTGATTCCTTCACATACTAGTACAAGGGCAATAATAATTCAAAAAAAGAGAATGAAACAATAAAACACTCTAATATGATGATGCTTAAAACTTTTCAAAGAATAATTATTTTGGTGCTAGTACCTGGTCCTGCTGGATCTGGAGTCCTGGTCCTGATTCCTGACATGTCAGGAGTATTAGTTCCATCCATAGTGAACTGAGGGTACTCTGCCATCCTATCATCCACAAAGATCCCATCAAAGATACGTCCATTCTTGAAGGTGAAGACACCCTGAGAAAAAAAAGTAATCAATTCACAGGTCTTAATGCAAAGCTGTAGATACATCCCGGGTGGATTGAAATACACGTATTATCCATATAAAAGTAAAAATCTTAATCACATTTTCAGACCGTATAAAGAGGAATGGGTTCCAAATAGTATGAAGTGATGACAATTACATGTAGATGTTCTATTTAAATGTAGTAATTTAATTTTGCTTTATTTGATCTTTTTATGTTCAAATGTACTTGAGCTGGAGTGGTCAGCATTGGTTTCAATGTTGTTAAACTATCACAGTAATAAGATAGCATCTGGGATTGTTAACAATTTCATGACCTTGTGATCTTTCATCTTTGACCTCTTAAATGTACATTCAAAAGCTAATCAGTTCATCTTCACTTGCTCATACATACTTCGTCCAAGCAGTGGGGTGCCCCGTTTTATAAAGAGTTGATATCAATCGTAACTTATTTGCAATTTATATCAATGTACATAAGAGATAAGAGACTGCAAACTTGCAATTGATTGGAGGACTTAAGATTGATTTAGATCAAACGTAACTCTTTATAAGACGGGGCCCAGGGCAGATAGACAGACAGACGGACAGAAAACATAATGCTTCTAGCACCACCTTCAGTGGCGAAGGCATAAACAAAACTGCCATGGTTCACCACACCCTATCTGATGCGGCTACAAAGAAGAGTTACATCCCCACTGCACTACTGCTACTGCTACTTGCGCCCTCTTTATATCAAACAATGCCTAATCGGTGCTTGCATGATGGTCCCCCATTATTCCCTTTTTCTTATGTTAAAGAGAAGGTTGAGTTCTGGGAAGAGGTGAAAAATAATTTGTGAGCATTACTCATTCTTATTATGCAATTGTGGAAGAACATCAGTTAAGACATGTTCCCTGAAAAGCATGGCTCTTCAAATGCTTCTAAATATGCATGTAACATCGTAAAAATCGGAGGGCCGGCTTTTTACGCCACGTGTTCATGTAGTCCCATATACATCTTTCTGTGCAAGTGTTTGTAACTTTACCAAGACTTGGCCAAATTTCTTATCATTTTGATGATTTCAGAACCTTGCAATACACACAAATTCTTATATGCTAGATGATCAACCTTTTCTGGTCGGTTTCACACATTTTCTTTCACAATGCAATCGCATGACCAGAACTCAACTTCATCTTCAATTGAGAGCTGATTTGATGAGATAACCACCTTTCAGTGACCTTGCAGGGAGGTCTAACCCCCCCCCCCCCCCTGGCCAAACTAGTAGACAGAATTTTAATGTACTTACCCTACCACTCTTCTTATCATGCTTCCATTCTCCTTCGTACTTTGCTCCATTAGCATAGAGGAACACACCGTAACCATGACGTTTACCGTAAACAAAGTCACCGATGTACTGATTGCGTAGTGGATACTGTGAACCAGGAAGACGTTTTAGGTACCATGTATGCTCTCCATGACCATGCTGTGAGGAATGACACAAGAATTGATATATATTAGATCATCTCATCTCCAAGCTTTATATAGTTTAAATATTGTAGCCTTTATGCCACAATCACCTGATTATTTTGTTTTAATACAACTAAAATCAGTTCCTACTAATATCGAAATAAGCATTTAGAAATGTTTACTTAATAGGGGTATATTCAATTTCAAGTATTCTTTTAAACTTAGAATCATTTATTCATTTAGGTTACCTTTACTGTGCATCTTCTATTTTTTTAAAGTTAAAAACTGTAAGTTGGTTGCATTCATTCAATTCATTTCAAATTCAATCCCAATTCAATTCAAAGCTCATTTCAGAGGAGGTTATTTTTTTTTATTCCAAAGGGGAAATTACTATAGAATACCATATATATTTAGACTGATGAAGATCTAAATAATAGAATCCTACCTGAACACCATTATCCCATTGTCCATTGAAAGACTGATTAAGGTCCACCCATCTCATCATGCCTTGTCCATGTCTGTTGTTATTTGCCCACTCTCCTTCATAGACGTTGCCTGATCGGTAACGCCTCACACCATATCCGCTACGTTTGTTGTTCACCCAGTCACCCTCATAAAAGGACAGTCCATCTGTGTCATAGCGAATGATGCCCTGGACAAGAAGACATACAAATGACAAATTCAAACAATCTGACTCATTTCTAAACTGTATTACTCACATGAGAATAGCAATTATGTCACACTGTAAAATAAAATGTGACAATTTATGTTCAATTTATCATTTAAAAAAAAGTCTCAGTATCTGGCAGTTGAAAGTATATTTTTTAAATCTTTCTCAGAGACACAGAATGACTTTATACTGACTCTTGTTTTTAAAGGGAACAGTTAATATAGGAATATGAGACAAGAAAATGTCTTTCTGCTCCTAAGGGTGAAGTATTTGTTGGATAGTTCTGACTGCTTTGCCATCGCCTACAATCAGCCACTGCCCCAGTCTTTCTCAGGTGAACCATGGGTGCCATTTTCAGTAGTTTTCAGTCTCATTACGTGCTTTTGATCAGGCAACTAGATATTGGTATGCTACGAATTCCTAGACGGGGCTGGATTGGACTACACATAGTCAATTACACATGAGATTTGTGAGTCAGTCCAAACCAGTTGATAGGGTGAGAAAGGTTGTGCAGAAACAACAAACAATAGAGTAGACACTGAACCATGCCTAATGTAGAGGGGTCTTGGTCGAGTGGATACATCGCCGGACTGTCGATCACAAGGTCTGCAGTTCAAGTCCCGCCGCGCCACTAATACATGTACATGTATGTCCTTTGGCAAGCATTGATCTACATGTACATTTGTCAGACTCCACCTAGGTGAAGCAAATAGGGGACCTGGTGGGAATTTATTCCTTGAAACGCAGAGCATGTGACAGCTGCACTGCTCGTTCGTTCGTTCATGTCTCCTTTGATCAAGATAGTTATGTAAAGTTCCTTAATTAAAAGTAAATTAAATTAAATTAAATTCTTCCATCCCCCGATTGCTGCAATGGCTGCTTCATTAACAAGGGCCAGGTCTTCATCTGTGCAACCCATTCCGCCGCACTGCAAGATGTGGTCCATCGTCTGAGTCTCTCCGCAGTCGCAGAGAGTATCTCCTTCATGGGCATAGCCCCACCTTGCCATATTGACCTTACACCGCCCCATTCTTGTCCGCATTCGATTTAGGCATTGCCACTCCGGCCACTTCAGGTTAAGCCCTTTGATGAGTACGGGCTTGGCTGATGGTGGAGGATTCTGTTCAGGTGGTGGGACAGAATCGAGGAAGCTGTGTCGGGATATAAGTCGTTTGTGGGGTTGTAAGTATCCGTGTAGCATGTGTCTGTCATCTGTCGCCTGCTTCATCCGTTCCTTTAGGAAGGTGTTAGTGCGTCTTTGGTTAGGAGATCCAATGCCAGCGAGGTGATATATCTCCTCAACTTTTGTTGGTTTCAGGCAGCCTGTTATCTTTCGATATGTGTTATTGAGTGTGGTGTCAGGCTTCTTCACATGGGATGATGTGCTCCAAACTGGGCAAGCATATTCTGCGGATGACATGCAGAGGGCATAAAGTGCGATCGAGTTTGACACCTAGATACACCGGATACTCGCAGTGGTTAAGCTACACATTGTTCCACTTTAGCTTCAGTTCTCTCTTTGCCTCCTTGTTCTTCAAGTGGAAAACACACACCTGAGTCTTGGATGGGTTTGCCCGTAGGTAATTTGCCCTGTAGTACTCCGAAAGGTTTGCGAGCGCTGTGTTGAGATGGAGTTCAACAGCTTCGAAGGTACTATGCTGGGCTGTGATGCAGGTGTCATCTGCATAGATGAAGTTTCGAGTGTTCTCTGTTGAAGGGATGTCAGCAGTGTAGATGTTGTAGAGTGTTGGCGCCAGGACGCCACCCTGGGGGAGACCGCTTTTCTGTTTCCGCCATCTGCTCTTCTGCCCATCAAGTTCGACAAAGAAGCGTCTGTTCTGCATCATCTTCTGAATGAATCTGGTGAGTTTGAGGTCATTTGTGATGTCATGAAGTTTTGTCTGTAGCCTTTGGTGATTGACAGTGTCATAAGCCGCAGATAAATCCACAAATACTGCACCTGTGATGAGGTTGTTCTGAAAACCGTCTTGGATGTGTTGGGTTAGGTTGAGAAGTTGTCCCGTGGTGGATTTTCCTGGTCGGAAACCTGCCTGCTCACAGTTTAGTTGGCTGTCAACGTGAGGCCCAATTCTATTGAGAATAAGGCGTTCAAGCAGCTTGTATGTTTGGCACAGGAGCGAGATCGGTCGAAAGTTCTTGGCTTCGTTCGAGTCCTTTCCTGGCTTGAGGATAGCGACGACTTTGGTTCGGAGCAACTGTTTTGGGACACAGGTGTTCTCGATGCAGTTGTTAAACATGTCTAGCAGCCATATCTGTGCTACAGAGCCCATGTGTTTGATCTGCTCCGATCTGATGTCATTGATGCCTGCCGCCTTGTTGACCGTAGCGTGGAGATACCTTTCTGTAGTTCTTCTTCAGAAATGGGTCTTGTGAAAAGAGACATGTTCTGGTCAACTCCAGGTAGTTTGTGCCTGTGTGAATTAGTCGTCTTGGGGGCCTTTCCATTTTTCAACAGTTGATTTGCTACTTGGTCTGCCGTAACATTAAAATGCTGTTGAGCTCTGGTGCTGTCAATTCCGAGCTTGCGTATGGTGGCCCACGCTTTCCTGCTGCTGTGTCTTAGGTCGGTTGTTTCAATAATTTGCTGCCACATCTGCCTATGTCGTTGAGATTTCCTTGATATGAGCTCTTCTTCAAGGTTGATGGTGTCCTCTGAGAAGGCATCTGTGTCATAGGCTGTGGTGTAGTTTGCCAGAAGCTGACTTGATTCCTCATCGATGCCTGGAATGTATGTCGTGCAGCAGCCTCTTGGGATATGTCTACGTGACAGCTTCTTGACTATATCTATGAAGGATTCATAGTTCTTTGGATCTGCTTGGAGATGTGTTAAGGCATGATCAAGGTGTTCGGTGAAAGCAGGCCAGTCTGCCTTAGCAAAGTTGAACCTGCGCTTGAAAGGGGTCTTGTTTGGTGCGATAACTGCAGTCAGTTGAATACCGATGGGTTGGTGTTGGGATCTTGGAATCGGCTCAGCTACAAACTTACGACTGGTGGGAGCAAGCAGCCTGCTGCAGAAAACTAGATCCTGTTGTAACGTCTCTTCCAGCGGGCACTGGCGAAAGACTTTGGGAGCTTTGCATCGTGGATTAGTTTTAGGTCGTTGTTTTGGGCCCATGTTTCAACTAGTGCTCCATCATCTCCAGTGGTATTATATCCCGATTGTGTGCTGTGGCTGTTGTAATCGCCAATTACAATATGCCTATTGGTAGTGGTGGAAGGATACGAAAAACTGATGTTTGGTGGCTTGTAGATGGAGGAGATCGTTAGTCCTTTGATTGTCACATTCAGCACTTCGATGTCGTTATTGTGGGTATAAGATGTAGAGTCCGGTCTGATCTTCTTGTTCGTGAAGATAGCACTTCCATATTGGCGATGTGGCCGCTCGATGGCAAGCTTCATACCCTTGACCTTGGGCCGTGGATTGTCGCTGCCGCGGTGAGTCTCTTGAAGACATAGCACATCGCAGTTCATTTGTTTGCAAATATGTGCAAGGACTTCCTCCTTGGCATCTGATATACCTTCGGCGTTCCATGATAGCACTGTCAGGGCTGGTCGTGAGAGGGGTCCATCAGCGGAATTGCTCTGGGATGCTGCTCTATTGGGCATTTTCACTATGTTATGTTGGTCTTTATCTTAATCGTAGTCTTAATATTACTCTTAGTCTAAGTCTAAATTATTATTATTCTCAATCTTACTCTTGATCTTCGAAGTAGTTGCTACAACCGGCCGTGTCAGACACGTTGCCCTGGGGTGCGAGATAGGACTCTTGTTGCGTGCCCCCACTTAACACAATTATACAATAACGAATAAAATTTCACTTAATTACAAGAATGAAGCAATTAAAATTACTCTCATGCTACGGGGGAAGAAAAAAAAAAAAAAAAAATGTATATATAAAAAAAAAAACTATGTATATATGTACTATATATTATCATTATTGCAAAAGCCAGGGTAATTATGCTGCATTATTGTAGAGCGCTTTAGAGACTTCTGATAAAGCGAGTGTTAGGCGCGATAAAGCGAGTGTTAGGCGCTATAAAGCAAATGTAATTAATGTATCATGTCTTTATGTATACTTACTGTGCCATGTCTAAGACCTTGATGCCATTGTCCTGTGTATGATGAAGGTGATGACATACAGCGGAATGTACCATGACCATGACGACGCCCCTTCTCTACCTCTCCCTCATACATACTCCCATCAGGCCACGTATACGTACCTTTACCTGTTATCTCATTCAAATTGAAATCCCCCTGTATAAACAAACGACACAATTACTTTGAATGTATAATATGGAATTCAAATACCAAGGTTGGACTTCCTATGTTATGTTTTACAAGATGTAATAGAATGCTTTTATAATATTGTTTTTATTAATCATGTCACAACTCTGTATTATATTATATCATGTTAAATTGTTTTGAGTACCAAATAAAATATCACTTAAAAAAACAAACAAAAATGTTGGACTACTGATGAAACAACAGCCCTATTATCTACCACACTGAATGCAAATGAGAGGCTATGTTCCTATATATTCAAGTTGGAAAAGGTTGCAAAAAATATAATTTCAAATTTAATTTCATATATCAGGGGTGACAAAATAAGCAAAATATTTCAAATTAAAATCAGGTTTAAGTAAACAGATAGGACCATGGATTCTGTTCTTTAGACAAATTTTAAGAAAATGTTGACTTACCTCATATTTGACTTTATCTGCCCATTCATATGTTCCCTTGCCATGCATCAACCCCTGTGAAAACTGACCCTAAGAAAACAAAACAATCAAATGTACAAAATAATTAGTAATTACTAGATACATGTACTAATCAGTAATACTGGAAAGTATCAGATTATTTCCTTGAATGAGTGTTATTGTCTGATTAAATGGTATTAAGATATTCCTGCTAAACACTCTATTTATTCATTACATATAGATAATACTGATACCATGCAAGGCCCCATCTTATACAGAGTTGTGAATGATTCAACTCATTCAAAACTTAATATCAATTTCAATACTCTACTAAAACGAGAGGAGTTTCTATGTTTGTGATTGACTTGAGGACTCATTATCATCCCGGATCAATCTTTACTCTTTCTAAGACAAGGCAAAGATCTATTTCATAAGCAGCATACTAGCTTGATGAGCACATTCAATTTGCAACTTCAGGCTACGTGCTTCTTGATCTACACCTACATTAGAGCACCTACATTTTGTAGATAATAATAATAATAGCCCAATAGTCCACTCCAAATTTTATTACACCGAAACGTAAATTCTTTTTGCCCAATTGATCGTGAGCCCGGCAGCCACTGAGCAGCGCCAGATCGACGTTGCTCTATCCCTTATTGTTGAACGCCAAACAAGGTAGCAACAACTCCCATCTTTTAACGTCTTTTGGTATGACGCGGCCGGGGTTCGAACCCACGACCTCCCGGTTGTGAGGCGGACGCTCTACTGACTGAGCCAACACTCCGGTAGATGTGATCCTGAAACCGATTTTAACAATAAACAGCAATTAAACACAAAAATAAACAACAATTAAACACAACAATAAACAACAATCAAACAGGACTATAAAATAAAACAAGATTTCACTTACAATAATGACAATAACATGAGACCATTTACAGTTAAATTTTGAAGTTGTAAAATTATTGCAATTTATGCAAGAGATTCCTGGAGGTTTGAAAAAGTGACCTAGTATCAATGTTCTCACCTTATAGCAATGTCCGCCACTGAAGTAAGCCACGCCCTCATTGTCATAGAGACCACGTACCTTCTCTCCTTCATAGCTATGAAGTAAATAAAGAAAATTATTAGCAATAGACATAACCTACGGCCATGCAGACCAGGTGTGGAATCCTAAAATGGACTGGTGAACCAGGTTAGGAACGCTGAGAGAAAGTGATTGGCTCTACTGTTCGTCATGTGACAGTCAATGTGTTTAGGAACGTTGAACCCTACATTCTCTCTCCCTCTCCACATTCATAAACTGGTATGTCCTCATTCACCAGTCCTTTCAGGACTCTACACACGAATTGATACCTCTCTCTCTCTCTTTTGTAATCTTCTCTACTTCCGTCCTAACAATTCCTTTTTCTGTACAACAAAACCAATTACAAATATTTTTTGTAATTAAATTAATTATAGCCCTAGGCCTATGTCTAAATGTTTATTTCCACACTGTAAAATCATTATCATTATCATCATCTTTTAGTTTTAGTAACAATTTCAAGATGTCAGTAATACTAATAATTAGTAGTAAGCTCTTCGTGAAACGGCTTAGGAGTGAGGAAGATCAGAGGCATCTCCATAGTTGGTGGATAAAGTTGTGAGTATGACTTTCTTGTCGTTGGTTTCGAGAAACGGGCCTCTGAATCTGAGCAGAGCTGCAGAGACTTTACCAAAATGATGTCCACTCAGTATGAAGGGGTGACCACAGATTTTAGAACATATTAGAAAATGTGATATTCGATCCATGTTTCCTCATATTTTACACAAATGTATTTATTTTAATTAATATCAAATGGACGGCTAAGTATTTTACTACAATTGGTTCAACTATAAAATTTATAGTAGAAGGATTTCAGAGATATCGCGATCTTAAAATTTGATGTCCAATTGTGCGTGCGCGTTGCATCTAAAAAAGTAATAAAAACAAGAAGACCTAGCTTCACGCACGGGGGTTTACAGCTGATTTATACGACTGAGTTCATCAGCTGAAGGAGGAAAACCCCTTGGTCAAGAAAGACACTTGGAGTGTCACAGGACTTTAACGAGTCAAAGTTTTTTTTGCATGCAATATTAATTTGTTGCAGTGACAAGTATTGGTGTACGTTTAGTTGTAAACATAGTCAATTTTTGCCAATTGTATACTAACTTGTACTTGCAGTTTTAGTTTCATTTAGCCTTTGTAACGATGGCTGAAGATACGAATATGGCAGAGATGCTGCAGGCGTTGACAGGTGTCATGCAAGGACTATCTCTACGACAGACAACTCCTGCACCAAAGATTAAACTACAGAAATATAAAGGTCCCCCAAGAGCCCCAGGTGAACCTTCATTAAAGGAATGGCTGGATGATTTTGCTGTTTATGCCAAGAGGTACAGGCTTGAAGGGAAAGACAAGGCTCAAGCATTGATCGATCATCTTGTCGGTGTCGTGAAGGAAGAGGTTCTGTGCAGGGATCTGTCTGTAAGAGAGGACTTTGATCAGCTAGTAGATGTGCTAAATTCACTGTTTGGACCTGCAGAATCTGTTCAGTCACTGAGTGCTGAATTTCACACGAGAATCCAGAGAGAAGGTGAAGGTCTTGCTGATTATAGTCATGTATTGATGCGACTGTATTCACGCATGGAAAAGGCAGCCTCCTCTACAGATGAGCGGAGGGCCCTTGAGCTTCTTCGCGACAGTTCTCTAAAGGAAAACTTTGTACGGGGAGTGAGAGACACTGGATAAAGAGAGAACTGCGACGAATAGAGATGGCCTCTAAAGGAAAAAAGTTCCTGGAAATGCGTGAGGAAGTGTTGGATCTTTTCAGGGATCAGGAGCCCTCAACAAAAGTGAAAGTCCAGGAAGCACTGGTGGCAACCCCCTCAACTACAGAGAGAAATGAAGTCAGAGAACTGAAGGACGACCTATCTTCTTTAACGAGACAAGTGAGTGAATTAGTAAAGGCTGTAAAGAGTTTACAAAGGAACAGTGGTGGACAGAAGGAATACAGTGGTGGACAGAAGGAATGGCAAGGAAGAAAGCTCGTTTGCTACAACTGTGGTGAGAAGGGCCATCACAGGAATGATTGTTCATCTAGCAGAAGGTGCTTTTCTTGCAAGATGCCTGGGCATCTTAAGAAGGACTGTCCCTTAAACAAGAGTACAGAGAACACCCGAGAGAACTCTCAAGCAAACATCAGTTTGATCCAAGGTCAGAAGGAGGGGTCAGTAGATCCATTGATAAAGAGACTTGTATCACAAAGTCCAAAGTCGGTGGTGACCATCGGGGGCTTGGACATAGGATGTGAACTAGATTCAGGAGCGGAAACGTCCATAATACCCGCTTCTGTATACCATGAACAGCTGAAGGTACATCTGGGGGAGCTGCACTCAATGTCTGGACTATTTTTAGATATCGTGGGAATTGGTGGGATAGATATCCCAATTGAAGGCTACATCGAAGTCCCAATACACCTGGAAGGACATTCCCTCCTTGGAAGTTTTATGATTGCAGTGGACAGGGCATACCACAATGCAACAGCAACTACACCGGAGTATCCTTTCCTGATAGGGTGTAATATCTTTGACACTATCGGTCCGTCAGGGTTAATTGATGTTCTGAAGTCTGCGAAGCAGAAAGTGAATGAGAGAACAGCGGCCTCCTGTTCACCTATCCCTGTACAGACTGGGTGTGTTGAAGTCCTCCAACCCTTTAGCATAAGAAGGGTCAGATGTCAAATAGAGACGGATGGTCATCCTTCACCAATTGGAGAGATTTTGGTGAGAGATACGACATGCCCAGTCTATGCAATCAATGCCATAGAAGGATGCCAAGAAACAGAAGGAAAATTGGTGGAAGTGCTGCTGGCCAACAGATCAGAGAACACTATCCATTTACCATCTCACACTCAGGTAGCAGAAGCAGTAATGGTCCAAAGAAGGAAAGAGGTTTATCTTGACCTTGAGGAGGACAAGATATTGGTTTCTGTTCGTGATGTGGTTGCAGAAGAAGCAGAAGATGACAAGGTATCTGAAAGTGTAATGTCGGATATTGACATTAAGGAAACAGATGACGGTCTTCCAAATCTTCCTACTGGAGTCAAGTTGGACGGACTTTCCAGCGAAGCTAAGATGTTGGTGACACAGTTGCTCAACAAGCATGCTTCAGTGTTTTTATCAGGAAGCTTTGATTTAGGGGAATGCAGTGTTGTGCCTCACGTGATACAGATGACAGAAGGACCTGCGATAAGGCTCCCTTACAGGCGCATACCCCCAACATTGGTCAATGATGTTAAAAAGATGCTCCAGGAAATGTTGGATCAAGGGATAATCCGCCCATCAAAGAGTTTGTATGCAAGCCCCATTGTTCTTGTGAAGAAGAAGGATGGATCACTCAGATTATGCATTGATTACAGGAAGGTTAATGAACGCACTGTAAGAGATTCGTTTCCATTACCTAGGATAGAGGAAACTTTGGATGCACTGACAGATGCCAAGTACTTCTCCACAATGGATCTAGCACATGGCTACTTCCAAGTAGTGATGGACCCCGCATCAGTGGACAAGACGGCTTTCCGAGTTCCTTGGGGACTTTTCGAGTTTACCAGGATGCCCCAAGGACTATGTAATAGTCCAGGTACATTTCAGAGAACGATGGAGTATATACTGGGAGATCTTAATCTTAGCCAAGTTATATTGTATCTGGATGATATTTTGGTGTTCTCTTCTACTCTTGAGCAGCACTTGGAGAGGTTGGACTTGGTCTTAACACGACTTAAAGAGAACGGACTCAAGGTGAAAGGCAAGAAGTGTGAATTCTTCCGCCAAGAAGTCAAGTACCTTGGACATGTAGTAACAAGTGAAGGAGTCAGGGTAGATCCTGAAAAGGTGAATAAAGTTCAGGAGTGGCCACGACCAAAGAATGGCAAGGAAGTTAGATCGTTCTTAGGATTAGCATCCTATTATCGTCGCTTCATGGAAGGATTCTCTCACATGGCTGGTCCTCTTCATAAGGTTGCTCTGAAAGGGAAAAGCAGCAAGACAGACTTTGAGTGGGGACAAGAACAAGAAGATGCATTTCTAAGTTTGAAGTCGCGACTTACTAGTGCTCCAGTGCTTACCTACCCCAAGTTTGACAAGGACTTCATCGTGGAAACGGATGCTTCCCTGAAAGGCTTAGGGGCATGCTTACTTCAGAAAGGAGATGATGGTCGACCCCATCCTATCGCATACGCAAGCAAGAGTTTGCGAGGGGCAGAGAAGAACTATGCAGACTTGAGCAGTTTCAAACTTGAACTACTTGCCCTTAAATGGGCTGTGACGGAAAAGTTTGCACCCTATCTCATGGGAGCTCACTGTACTGTGTTGACAGATAACAACCCTTTGGCGCATTTAAACTCAGCGAAGTTAGGAGCCACTGAGTCCAGATGGGTCGCACAACTGGCACCCTTTGATATAGAGGTGAAGTACAGGTCAGGTAAGAGTAATCGATGCGCTGATGCTCTTAGTAGGAGACCAGAAGACATGTCAAGTGCAGAAGTCGCATCAGTGCTAAGTGAGGTGACATGTTCTACGGAGCTACCCAAGAATGATCAATCTTCTTTGAGTGGACGTCAGAAGATTGAGGTGAGAAGGGTTAGTGAAGAGCACAGAGTCAATGTATTACCCTCTTACAGCTATGCTGAGCTTGCGGATCTCCAAGAGAAAGATGAAGTTCTTCAAGAGGTCTCGCGTTTGTGGAAGAAGGGATGGACGCCTGGTCAGGACTTCGATACCTCGATGCCGTGTTTATCTGGATGGCTGAGACAGTGGTCACGATATTGAGAATATCGAGGGGTTTTGTATAGGGAGGTGGATGACGCCATTCTTGGCAAGGTACGACAGTTGTTAGTACCCCAAGTGTTGAGAGAAACCATGCTGAATTTGACTCATGACAGATGGGGCCACCAAGGAGTGGACAGAACAGTGAACCTACTGAGAGACAGATGCTATTGGCCAGGAATGAGTGGGGAAGTAAGACTTTACATCAAGAAGTGTTACAGATGTACTATGTCAAAGGTACCTACGCCAGCTATCTGCC